GGACAGAGTGGGACCACAGCTGTGGGGCCCACATCAATGTTCTCTACAATCCCTATTCAAGAAACCCCAACACCGTTTAAAGAAGGCTATAGTGAAGTCATCCAGCCCCGGAGCCTTGTCCCCTTCCATTTCCTATATTGCTCCCCAGACTTCCTCTTCCCTGAATTCCCTTTCTAGAGCTCTCGCTTGTTCCTCTGACAAGCCATCAAAAGGCAGTCCATTAAGTTTAGGTCTGACTGTCCACACTTCTTTATACAAATCCTCAAACTCGCAATATGACTCTTAATCCTGTTAGCCTCCTCGACCACATCTCCGTTTACTGTTAGACTTTTGATGGTATCGTCTCCTAGCACCAATTTCAGAATTTTAAAGTTAATTAAAGCAAATGACTTCTTAGCATAAACTAAACTTTAATGCATTTGATGCCATTACTACAAAGAGTGTGTCCTAATGTTGAGATTTAAACAAGTTGCAATTGAATATGCTCACTGATTGCAAACTTTCTTTTGTTATATTTGTGTAAGGAGGAGGAAGAGGGCTTTCCCATTACTGATCAAAAAAAGGAAGCATGTTCCAGTGTTCAGAGTATGGAAACTATAAAGTGCTTACTGCTAAGTGATTTCAATTAAATCAATGAAACATTCAGCCTGGTTTCCTGGTTTCTGTGATTCAAGCACCAAGTGGGACAAAATAAAGTTAAGCTATAAAGCTTCTTTCAGTTCTAACTGCCAGATATAATTAAATGATATTTCAAGTTTCAATGAATCAATAACCTCTTGTTTCAGATATCTCATGTCCACATTAAGATAGTACACTACCAAACTAAGTTTTCAAGCTGCTAAGAAAGTCAAAGGTAGGTTATAGTGATTATGAACACACAAACGAAATAAAGAAAAAGGGGGATCTATTAGCCCAATTTTAACTTACCTTCACATCAGATGAGAAGTTTGTAACTATTCTCTTGTAGCCAGCTTTCTTCAGTTGAAAGTTCATCCATCTCAGTAAGATCTTCTCAGGTGGTAGATTCATCAGCTCCTCCACATCCTAATGATTTATGAACAAAATACAACATATGAGCTAAAAAGTAGCAAATAACCTTTCATAAAAGTCACAAATAAGCAGAAAACTTCTATACAAAGGTCATTTCACCTTACTATCATCAACTAACTCCACCAACTGAGGTGTTTTCTTCAAATTGAGGTCCGCCAATAATTGTATCTATGATTAAAACATCAAAGTAATGGTTTCAATTACAGAAAATATAACTTATATAATTTTTAGTTTGTATCAGCAACATGTGCTCAAAATAGAAAAATGGCTTTTAAACAATTACAGCCCAGAATCAAGACTTAACACTCTAAAGTCTAAACAAAGCTCAAACTTCATTCATATGTGCTTTATAGATGACAACTAGAGCATACCTTAATGATTTGAGATATCAACCCAAGCACTAGATGACGCTGAAAATAAATAAATACAGAGAACATTAATATTCTTACTGACCAGAAACTGCTAGTACATAGTAGTACCCTACTAACTTCTGTAACTTCGTAGAGGGAAAAAATAAATTTAATCAAAATCAACATGATGCAAGATAAATCTATCTCAAATGTACATTTATTCATAAATTGCAATAGGCCAAGGTAATTAAAGAGGAGGGAAAAAACAAAAAAAAAAGAGTTAGAATCGAACCAAAGTTGTTAGAAGGACCAAATAAAGAAAATAGAGTGTGCATTGCAATAACACTAAACATGTAACTTAACATTGTACTTACCAAGCAAGGGCAAAATAATGAAATAAACATAGATAGCAAACTCCAATCTTGTTTGAAGCTTATAGGCTTTCTCTCATGCACTTTTTAGGTAATTTCTAGGGTTCATATGAAAATAACCTAATAGATGGAAGTGGCTAACTCTGCTCCGACTCGGTTTTCTACTTCTCCTGTATAGCACCACCTGGCAATGGATTTATAAAGCTAAATTTTGATGGGAGTAGTGAAGGTAACCCAGGCCCTTCACTACATAATTTCATTAGAGGTGAGGATGGGAAGGTGATGGCAGTGCATTCAGGCTCCATTGGGGTTGGGGACTCTCTTAAAGCTGAAATATATGCTGTACTAGAGGGTATTAGAAAGAGTAAGGAACTGAATATACAGAAGTTAATTGTTGAATGGAACTCAAAGTTGGTGTTAAGCTGGTTACAGAGGGGAAGCGATCTTTGGAAGTTTGCTAATGAAAGAAGGGAAATCAAATGGATAACTAGGGGGATGGACATCCAATTTCAGTGGGTGAAAAGAACAGCAAATGCATTTGCAGATGCTTTGAAAAAGCAGGGGGTGGGAAGGGATCAATTGTACTGGGCTGTATTGTGAGTTCTTATGTTGCTATCTTGGAGAGAGTTGAGTCTTTTATTTCTCTCTGGATTGTTGTACCTATTTTTTATGAATCTAATGAAATTATGTTATTGATCAAAACAATAAGTTTTACTTCTTTGTACTTTGGCATGGAACAGAATATTCAGAAACCTATTAAAAAACCTGGTGATAGGACCAAGATATAATTGAAAAGAACTAATGACTAAAACAGCATATATACTTACCCTTCCTTCAATGAAGTCTTGCGTGCCAATATTGACTACCGTACACCCAATAGCCTTAGCAGAATTGAGGCATAGTGTATGATTTTCGTTCCTTTCCCAAGGATTAAGAACCCTCTTTGTATTGATTGCTCGTTCATCAATAGTCCCAGGGACCGCCACATTGATAAGTTTACTGCATCAAAGAATATGCCTTCAGATTACAAAGTCCCAAAACCAAGAAAAAAACCATCTCCAAATTCAAATTAAAGCAAAGGGCTTAACAGGGAAATCACCATAGAAGAACGCCATCTTTTACAATCTCAAAGAGATCATTAGTGGAAGGATCTATAGGAAGGTATCTCCTCAAGAACTGATCTTCTGCTAGGTAGTTGTTTATATGAGCAACATAGGACGTTTTCTCAGATTCACTGATGGTGTGAAGCAATGTCRTCGTAGCAGCCTTCAGAAATGCAGTCGAATTCTTCGCTCCACTACCAATTCTAGCATTAACATGCGATTGCAGTTTCAAATAGACCTGTAACAACCATTTGCTCACTCTACTTACAAATCCTTAACCCCAGTATCAATTTCTCAACCCAAAACCATAAACTGCTAAAAATAACTGAATTAAAATTCAACGATTACGCTTTCAAGTTGCAGATCCTATAATAGTACTCACCCGAAGGAAGACTTAAAAATCCTCTGCCTCCTCGTCCATGTCCCGATACGATTCAAGCAAACACGCAGCCCTCTCTTCCTCAGTCAAAGACTCTCCAACGGTTTTCAGCTTCGACATCCTGGAAGGCAAGTGCCCGATTGTCACTCGCCCGAGCTCCCTCTTCATTGAGAGGAACTGCAGAAACCAGTCGCCAACGTTGTAGGTTCAAATGCAAGATCAAGAAAACAGATAATACATCAAAGTAACCCACAAACAAGAAAACTACTTGGGTTTTAGGGTTTTGAGGATTACTCACATAGGACTTCAAGCTGCGAAGCTCCACCTGAGTGAACTGGTTCTGAAGCCATGGATCTGACACCAGGATCCCAACGTACCCGGCCATTTGCAGGTAAGTCTAAGGAAATCGAGTGGTTGTTTTCTCTTGCCTCTTATTCTCCGAGAAGAAGCAACCGGACAGAAGAAGAAATGAACTGCAGAGAGAGAGAGATGAGTTGAATATTGAGACTGTCCGAACATAAAGGAAGGACTCTTTTTTTTGACAGCGATAAAGGAGGGACTCTGTCAGATTTGAGAATTCAAAATATGACGAAAAGGACCCTTTCGTAGCCGCTCTTAAGGGTCCGTTTGGTTCCGGATAAGATCGGAATCGAAATCTCCCGGAATTGGAATTAGAATTACTATTCCTGACGCTCGTTTGGTTAAATCAGCAATTAGTATTTTATAATAAGTTTATTATTATTTAATAAATGATATTCTTTTTATTATTATTTTCTTATTATTGTATCATTATTATTTAATAATTAATATCTCAGTATTTATCATTAATTTATGAATAGTTTATTAATATATCATTATATTATTATTACTTTAATTATATTTTTATTGTTATAATTTATTATTTTATTATTTTTCTTATTAGTTTATTAATACTCAACTACTTTTGTTTATTGTTTTAAAATTAATTTAATAATATTTAATAAATAATATGTTAGTATTTTTTATTACTTTAATGATAATATATTAATATTTTATTTGTACTTAACTATTATTATTATTTAATAAGTAATGTATTTACTTTTTATTAATATTTTATTATAGTATTATTATTTTACTTTCATAATATGTTATTATTTAATTATTAATTTTTTTATTATTACTTTAGGTATACTGTATTAATATTTTATTTTTACATTATCATGATTATATTTAATAATGAATATTTTTGTGTATTATTATTAATTTATTAATCTTTTATTATAATACTATTATTTTATTACTATTTTACTAATATTTTTTAATACTTTATTAATATTTTTTTTATTTAGCAATTTTTATTAATATTAAGGTTTTAGGGGCTTTTTGTCATGAGATTTTTACTTCTTAATATACTCTTGAGTGGGAATTCCATTCCTGGGGGGCTGGAATGGCCAATCCCCCGAGAATGGGCATAGGCATCCCATTCCTATCAAACAAATAATAGGAATCAATTGGAATGGGCTATTCTGATTCTGATTCCTGGCACTTATTCCTAGAAACCAAATAAATCCTAATATTTGAATTCTGATTCTGATTCCTGGCACTTTATCTTTTTGGTTTAACTCTGAAATCTTCACAATCCAATTCATTTACTGATGTGGGGTCACTTGATTATTTATTTACCTTGATTGCTGAATCAGAAGCAACACACAAGTGGGTTGTACATTTTTCGACATTTAATGGGAGCGGGATGAATCGGATGCTTGAACCAAGTCATTTTAATATATAAGGCAAAGTTTTGAATTAAAAATTTAAAACAGTATCAAATAAAGTTTTGAATTAATTTTACATTTTAAACATGGTTACATGGTTGAGCGAAATAACTAAAGGTGGTTGGACCATAATAATAATAATACTAAGTAAAACTTATATTCATAATGTAGATGAACTGTATTGTCTAAGGATATAAATGGATTGGATCAATATTCAAATAAGGGTATATTCAAACCCAATCCAATACATTGTAGATCTAATCGGATCTCATAAATACTAATTTGAATTTAAATTTGATCAGGATGTTAGATATTTGAATATAATTGATCTGTTTTAATTTAAAAAAARAATAACTAAATATTAAAAGGAAAAAAATATAACAGTTTAAATAAATAAAAAATACATGTATTTTTTCAACTATTTTCATCATATATATACATGTTATTATTAAAAATAAATAAATAATATCAAAATTTACAAAAATGTAATATAAATAACATATTGTATATATAACACACACACACACATAGGGGTGATCTAAATCTAACCCGATTTTTAATTTGATCCAATTATCTGATCTGATCCCAAAATTTGAAATAAGGATATCTAAATCTGACAAAATAGGAACAGACTTTGGATTGGATCGAATCATGATCCGATCCATTTGCACCCCTATGTGTTGATAATATGGTTCGATTTTATGTATGATAAAATAAGGTATTAATTTCATATTAATGAACAAAAATTACAACAAGACTATAAAAATTTAGGAATAAAAATGGTCCCAACATATTTTTATGTTTCCAACAAAAAATCATATTTTTATGTTCTATATGCTAAATTTGGGACCAAAATAATCCATATGTTTGATCTAACTTTCATCATCATCATCTAGGCTCAGTTTGGAAGGAGTACAAATGCAAATATATAGAGTGCAAAACCTTGTATTGTGTATTATTTTATATGTATTTATATTTGCACTCTTTCCAAACTAAGCCCTAAGTTTTTCTAAACCGTATGGGGTGGTTACATGAATCTTGTTTCACCTTCCATTCTTTTTATATGACCACAAAAAAAACAAATCAGGATCCATGACTATGAGAATTTGGCAAAAGTTTTAGTGCAGACTATTCAACGTACTGATACAATATAGGATGTATTGAGCATATTATATCAGATATAAACTCATTGATACATTAAATCCTAATAGTTAAGACATTTGGCCACTTTGGAAGGATAATACCCTTCCTATAAATGTTGGCTCAATTCTTTTTCCAATTTCATTGCCCCTTTGAATCACACAATACATATTTTTTGTGTATTGGACATATTGACACTTTGAACCTTAGGGCTATGTTTGGTTTGAAGGAAAAAAGTAAGGAAAGGAAGGGAAAGGAAGTGAAATCTTTACAAAACTTGTGTAGATTTCCCTGCATTTCCCTTCCTTTCCCTACTTTTTTCTTCAAACCAAACATAGCCTAAATGCAACCTTCTTCGTTTTCTTCAGGCTTGAGAATGACAATGTAAGACAAGCTCACACAGCCCGAGTTATGTGTGTTAATCTCAAATTAAATATTTGAATATAATTTTTATCAAAATCCAACTTTTTTGGTATTAAAAATCCCAATCAAGATTATAGTTTTTAGCCATAATCAACGTCACCTTCAAATTACAAGATTTATCAAGAATTACTCACAAACTTTTAAATCGTTTGCCATTTTAGGTGTTTCTACAAAAAGAAATTAAGCAAATCATTATGCAATTTAATTAGAAATTGAAAAGGCTAAATAAGAGAAAACCTTAATTTGTTGGCCAGCACTTGGAGAGACACTTTTGTCGTAGAATTAAAGGACATGTGGGTCATTTGAAGAATTATGAAGGAGAGAGAGAGAGAGAGGGTGGAAAGGTTGATAGAGTGTCAATGCTATTTGAAAATCTGATTTTAAATTCGAGATTTGACATAATCAAATCGAATTTAGATAATTCGAATATCATAATTGATCAAATTTGAATATTCTATTCATACCGTTTAACTAATCAAATCGAATTCCAATGTCTTGATTTGATTCAACAAGTATTAGAATTTGATTGACTATTTAATTATTATATATAATATATAAAATACTAAAATGTTTTATATAATTTATATATACATATATATTTAATTAAATTGTATAAATAAATTAGATATTTATATATACATTATATAAATGAAATATTTATTTTATATATTTACTTTAACTCCTACGTACCATAGCTTCAGGCATGCAAGCCTGGGTAGTTTAGATCCAGTTGTTTCTAGAATAGGTCCTCAACCCAATTCTGTATGCTGTAGACACCAAGCCATTATAGAAGGAAATTACAGTTCAAGAACTGGATAAATGTAACATCTGCACACAGTATACTAGCAAAGTCAACTAGTTTCCCTAGATATAATTTGTTCCTTATATGTCATTCCATTTTCCTAGTTAATTTGCCCAACTTATTGAAAGTTTCAAAGCCTATCCCTGCAGCCAATTAGCAACTAATTTTGTAAAATGTCCATTGATCTTACACTTATAATTCTTTCTTATGTGAGTAGATGCATGATACTTGTTTTTAAGTGCAYTGTATTCTTGATGGATTTATTGTATGAATTTTTTTTGAATTATTATGTTTTTAAGAAACTTGGTATGCTAATAGTTTTTGATTGCTGAATTAGATAGTGAAAAGTACTGAAGCCTTGAAGGAATGCAATATTCATTCATCTAAGGCCCCATTTGGTTTATAGGAATAGGGGTTTGGAATCGGAATGGCTGTTCGATTGAATGGAATCGGAATCCCATTCCCATTCCTGCTGGAATGACATTCCTCCATTTGAGGGAATGGCCATTCCCTGCCCCTCCCTAGGGAATGAAATCTCATTCCTGCTGATTTCAATTCCCATTCTCATTCCTATCTGAACCAAACAGACTATGTGAATGGGCCATTTCGATTCCGATTTTGGTGGATTTTGATTCCGATTCCGATTCCAATTCTGACTATGAACCAAACGGATGCTAAATATAGGATGGTATTAGGATGTGCCAGTACTTAGCATTGTTCACTAGACTGGACCCCTTTCATGACAATTTGAAAAGTTAAGTTGGTGATCCTCCTTACTGAAGTCTAAAAATTATAGGATTTGTAAAGCTTAGGATCCGTTTGGTTTGTAGTTGGAATCGGAATTGGAATCAAAATCTTCTAAACCGGAATCGTCCATCCCCATAGTCTGTTTGGTTCAAACAGAAATAAAAATGGGAATTAAAATCAGCAGGAATGGGATTTCATTCCCAAGGGAGGGGTAGGGAATGGCCATTCTCTCAAATGGGGGAATGCCATTCCAATAAGAATGGGAATGGGATTCCAATTCCACCAACCAAACAGTTGGAATTGGAATAGCCCATTCCGATTCTGATTCCCAACTCCTATTCCCGCAAACCAAACGGGGCCTTAATTTTGTCTAAACAAAAACAGGAGTTGAATGCCCAAAAACTACAGTTTATTTAGTTAATAGTAAATAATGTACCTTTAATAACTCTTTATCTGTGTCTGAGAAAGCCATTGGCATGCTCAATGTTCATAGCCTATTTTGTTAGGTTTGTTAGGTAAGCTGTTTGAGAAAACCATTGGGTGGAGGTGTTATTACAAGCTTCGTGTGGTTATCACACATATGTTTGTTTGGTTTAGTTCACTTAGGTAGTTTGGAATTGGTAAAGGTCATTTTGATTGTCTGGCCTATTAGAATCTCCATGTTGGTCTTGTAGGAAT